TCTTGTGAAAGGGTTATTGTGGGGTCGGGCAGATGTTCTGTGAGAGTTTTGTGACTTTGGATTAGGAATTGGTCTTACTGGTTTTGTTTTTTAGTGCAGGTGGTTGTTTCGTTCGTTGTTTGCACCACTTCGCAGCAGGTCGTGGCAATTTAGCTTTCTGTAAGAAATAGTGTGCGCGAAACAGTTATGGATGATATAATTCATCTTGTGAAAGTGACACGACGTTGGGTGCTATCCTTGGCTTGGGGACATCGTTCTGCACAAAGGCTTTGCTGTGGTGTATGGCTGGGAATTGTATAGAAATCACCTTGTTTTTTCTTTTTGATGCGTGGGAAATTATTTACCTTAATCATGGTTTGCAAGTTGTTATATCAAGTGGAGCTGAGAGTGGCTGCCCCGTAAATTGGCCTGGCTAGTGTATTTTGTATCATATGTGGGTATTGAATCATGTGTCTACAAGACTTGGGCCATGTTAATCACCTCCAAATGCCCTTTGTTTGTAATGATTTTTCATAATGGGCTTCTTTTGATTTTTTTTTTTTGCAATTTTGGTTATTGGACATATGATGATTTTTTTTTGAGTTGTGAGTAGAATTTTTATGAATTTGTATCATGAACTCATGGTTTATTTGGTCAATTTTTTTTAATGGATTTTGGGTAGAAAATACAATAATCAAAATGGATAATTGGGTGTATAAGTCAAATGAGAATTGGATATTGACAAAAGGAAATGGACTTGAAATTGAATATGTGGGCATGATATTAGATTTTAAGAGAAATGAGAATTGTACTAATAAAATGAGTAACTAACCAGCTTATGAACTAGAGAAAATGATAATGAAACAGATATTAGAATCAAAGTTTGAAGATTGAGAATGAAGAGACTTTGGAGAATGGACAATGAACTTGAACCATGAATTTACAACTTAAAAAAAATCATAGATACACACGTTGATAGGACTTAATCCACCACTATAACCCAACAGCTTGAATCTCCGGACGAACCAGGGCCTTGAAACAATGAGATCAGAAGCAAATAACTTAAACAGGTAAATTGCACTGTAATTGCACCAAAAACCCTAATTAAGACAAACCAATCATTGATGAAGCACTTGACCCATCATAGTCTGATAACCTATTCCACAGACATCCTGAGTTCACACAGAAACCTAAATTGGCACAACAACCCTAACTGAAGCTTTACACATAAACCAATTGAATTGTGCAATCCTAACCTTGATCATGAATTAGATCCTTGCTGGACTAAGATTAGGTCAAACCAAGATGATTCTCAATTCATAATGCACACATTCTTGATTGGATACCCTCAAATAACACAGACTTAGAGAACAGGAAGATAACATACTTTTTGGACTTTTTGGATAATGGTTGGTGGGTGAATGTACAGATAAAGGCTATATACGTGTAGCACAAATTTGGGGTATGACAGGTAGAAAGACTTTTCTTTTCCAATATAGCTGTAACTTTTGGTTGCCATTCTCTTGTCAAGGATCTAAGAATTTTGAGATTTAGTTCATCGTTAGAAAATGTCTTACAAAGTGCGATTAAGTCATTAGTGAAATGTATGAATCTTTTCTGAAGAGCAACTATGGATTCTCTGAGCTGCATTCGAAACGTCTCATATTCCTGACTTAATGTATTAAGTCTAGATCTTTTGACTTCAGTAGTTCCTTCATGAGTCTCCACCAAAGTTTCCCAGATTTCCTTTGCAAATTTACATTGTGAAACGCCAAAGAACTCATCCATACTTAATGTACTTTGTAATATGTTGATCGCTTTCTTTTCATCGAGTATTTTATTTTTATCATCTTCATCATATGAAATTTTAATCTTCGTAGTGCCAACACCATTTACCACACTAACTGGTTGATGAGGACCGTTTTCAATAGTTCCCCAGATTCCTTCTCCTCGAGCTTCTAAATGTGCCTTTATACGGATTTTCCAAAGGTCGAAATATTCTCCAGAAAATAAAGGACTGCTGCTGTCATCTTTGAAAACCAGATTTGCGCTAGTGGAAGCCATGCTGAATCAATAGGAATAAGTTACCTATAACCTGCTCTGATGCCAATTGTTAGTAAGATATGCACACAAGAGGGGGTTAATTAGGTACTTAAAGATTTTTCCAAATTTTTAATGGTTTCAAGATTTACTTTCCTAAGAGATTACTGTGTGATGAAAGTGATAAATGCGGAAAGTAAATGACATGGCGATATATCCTGGTTCCCTTCACAGTCCGAGAGTACTCCAGTCCACTTTCAACATGAAAGAGTATTTTTAATAATGTTAGATCTTATGACAAGACTATCCTAGCCTTTCTATACAGACTCTAACAATCACACCAAGAACAGTCCTCTTGGATTTTACAACAAAGTGAAATAAGAGAACAATCCTCCCTTAATCACTCTCTTGCTTCCAACAATTATGGACAACAAGGAATACAACCTTACAAGCTTAAGTTTAACAATCTTGAAAATAAGATGTAATGAGCAAAATACTTAATTCTGATTTTTGTTGGAGTGTTTGAAGTTGATCTTCAATTATCAATCTAAAGATTGATCTTCTTCTTGAACAAAAAAACTATTATACAAGATATACAAGTGTTCTTAGATGGAAGAATGAAACTTAAAATGATTTGGATGAAAGTTCAAATGCACGAGTTTCACTCTTTGAAAATTCTGATTTTCGCACTTGATAATTTGAAAATTTGAATGATAATGAAAAGTTTGAAAGTTTATTTGCAAGAAGGTGAATCTCAAAGTCTGAGATTATGAGGTTTATATAGCCTCTAAACACCTCTACAAAGGAGTGCATTTTATCAAGAGTTTCCATGGTTCAAGAGGAAAAGAAATTTTTTTCATGCTTCAATGTTTTAAAAATTTTGAAATTTTTTTCAGGGTAATCGATTACCAGGTTAAGGCGACCGATTACTCTAAGTCAGTTTTGTCAAAAACCTTAAAAGCAGAGGCAAAATAGTTTTGAAAATGCATAAATCATTTTCCAATGAATATGCAAAGAATGAGGAGCGCTTTGAACACTTGTATAAGTTATATAAAGGTTAAATGTCATACCTTTCGTTTGTGTTAAACCATCTTCATGTTTTCATCAAGACTTGATATAATTCTTTGACAATAAAGGTCTTTGATCTTCATCTTGATCTCTTGAAATTCTTTTACCATCCTTGAGCTGAGGAATGTATGTCGTCATCAAAACCTTTGAGAAGACATGTCTTCACATATAACACTGAACCAATTATACCTAATTGATTGGGTTAATGTAAAAATGGTTCCCAAAAATTTAAGACAATTTCTTAATGAACGACAACAACTATGTATCCATCATTTCCTTTTAAAACAACCTAAACTTTTATTTTGAAACCTTTTGATCAATTTGAGCATGACTCTAATCGATTAGTACATTTATTTTGGCTTAAGAAATTTTTCTCTTTTGTGCCAACCTCTAGCCTATAAATAGAGGCTTTTCCATTCATATCTTCAAATTCATAAACATGAGCATCATATCTCACTCCTCACTCTCTCTAAAAAAAAAAATTCTTTAGTTTCCCTCACTTATTTTTATTGGTAACACTTCGAGAAAGTTCATTTGTGTAATGAACAATTTGTAGTATTCTAGAAGGGTAGTATTATAAATTCTCCAAGAACTATTTTGTATTGGTAGAATATTTTATCCATAAGGGATTGTTTATGTGGGTTTAAAGCTAAAGTCGTTTAAGCACTTTAGTTTTGGGAATTTCAACCTGAAGTCCTAGGTTCGTAAGCTTAACTCGATTCAAAAGCTTACTTTGGTTTGAGATCATCCTGGTTCAAAATCTCAAGTTGTTTTATGGTTATCCTGTATAAAACCTCGGCTCGGTTCATAAGATTAACCCGGTCAAAATGTTTTATTTGGTTCGAGATAAGTCTATGTCATAACCCTGGTTCGGTTTGTGAGTTCATCCTGATTCAAAAATTCTCTTTGGTTCGAGATAAGCCTGTAAAAAAATTCGATTTAGCTTGAGGACTAACTGCTTCAAGTTGTTGTTTGGAAATAAGACTAACCGCTTCAATTTGCCATTTGGAAGGAAGACTAACCGCTTCTCTCTGATGTTTGTTGTTTGATTGGAGGTTAGCCTGAGGAAAGGATACTCTTAAAAATTATCGGATACTCTCAAGATCAAATCTTGAGGAAAGGATGAGGTCACTTCTTTTCAACTGAACTTCTATAATTCCTGGTGTTATCTCCTTATCCTAAACTCTTTATTTTCTTCTTATTTATCTTTCTGCTGCTAATTTATTTCAAAATGTTTTTAAAATTTAAAAATAATTATAAAATTGTTCAAACTATCGTTTTTCTGAACAACGGTTTCATTTGCAACAAAGATTTGCAGCAAATATTGGTGAGGTTAAAATGGACAATTAAAACTAAGTCAATGTTAATTAAGACAATATGTGACGACATAACCTTGTTGTGTGATTCTATATTGATATATTATGATAGTGTTTTAAAAATCAAACTAAAACCATCGGTCAGACTAATCATTCCAATCAAGTTATCTAATCATTTGCGTCAATGTACTGGTTAAACTCGTTTAATTTAAATCTGTACAATTCAGTTCAAAGAAAAACATTCTTTTTTTTTTAATTAAAAAAAAAAGATGAGCTTGTAAAATTATAAATATAAGATATTTAGGTCATGAATATTTTTAAATTTGTTAATAATTAACAAAATTATCCTATTGTTTTGCAGTTTGACCAATAATTCACCGATTCGACCGATGATGTAGCGTTTTAACGGATCACTTACCGGTTCCAGTTTTTAAATAGTGTTATTAACGACATTATAAGTTGGTAAAGTACACAATAGATAACCTCCACAGAGTAATACAGAAACTTTATTCTCCTTTAAAATACCATAATTCAAACCAACCACAAATACTATTTCATAATTCAAAAGATTACAATAGAAAATGCTGTTGCGTTGCATCACTGAAAAACACGATTGAGGGTTGCTGCCAATCGAACTCCTCCTTGAGCTAATCGCAAACTGATGATCGGCAAACGCGATAGGAAGTAATCATCTGCATCACATTGTTTCATGACAGTGAGAAAATCTAATAACTCTAGTTTCATGCAGAAGTATTAGAGATTAGTAATTTAGAAGTACCTTCTAGTGTAGCATCTTCAGGAGCATCTTTATATGCGTATTCACAAGCATCCTTAACACCTTCAGATGCATAAACATTTGGACACGTTGCCTCATCAGAACTGCATGCTTCCCAATCTGCTACTTCATCTGACCATGTTTTCTGCATCAGAAAAATTTGTAGTAAAAAACTTGTGCAAGATTGTAAATATATAGAGAAAATTAAAGTGGTGTTGAATGGAATACCGTGATATTTGTTTGAATGTCCTTGAAGTATTCATCTATGTTATTGTCATAGAATCTTTCTTCTGCTGTTTCAATAATGTTAGCATCCCAAACCTAAACGTATAAAGTTAGTTAGTAAAGTAGATAGTGAAATAGTAGCTGATGATTTTTGATGATGAGGATTGAGTTCACTGACATGGTGAAGATTTTGCTTCCTTGTATACCAATGAACATCAATTGTATTTCCTCCCTTGTCTGTGGTAAAACCAGTATGTAGAGGCTGCAAATTAACCAAACATTTAATGAGTTACCGATTCCGGAGCTTTTAAATTATGATTCTACGGTGAAACATGTTTGTAATAGTTAGACATACCTGATGGACATCTCCCATATAATGAGAAAGGAAAAGAAGTGCTTGTGTAAGGTTGTCTGATATTATGATTTCCATTGTGAAACAAGAATTTTGTTAGTAAAAAAAAAAACTGAGTATTTAAAGTCATAGCAGGTTTTTTTTATTACATTGAGTGTCTTTTTTGCCATATTCCAGAAGCTGAGTGGTGTAATTGTTAATTGCTCCCACAACACATCTATCTTTCACGCCTTCCAAATCCTTGCAATCCCCTAAATTAATCAATGTTTACATAAATTCGTTATTCAAATCTATAGATATTATAAATCCGGCATCTCAATAGCTGTTTATTTCAACTATCGAGATGCCGGATTGTGTGACAGGATATAGTAAACTTACTGGCATATTGAAAGTTGCAAAGCTTAGGAGGAGTATCAGCATAGTGCAAAGCAGACGTCCAACGAAGAGCAAACTTGACACGATCAGCCCATGTACAAACACTTGACAAATCATTATTCGCATAATCAGGCAGCAATTGTTTCACAGCATCTGCAGCTGCGTCGCTCAGACGAGCCTGAGCGATCTTACAAGTAATGGCATGACCTTCTTCTCCCCACCCTTGAATATTTTGAACCAGAAAAATGAATGACAAAATTGCCACTAACTGAATTTTGTTACACTCCATTTTTGTTTCTTTTAGTTTACTATGAAAAGTTTGTACTTTGTTTTGAGTTTATATATAACTGTGTAATGTGCAGAGACAACGAATCCAAAAGTCTGACTAAAGGGTGGTCAAATTTTCTAAAAATAAATTTTACATAAAAAGAAATTATAATTTTTGTTTTGTAAAGAATAAATAAAATAGTTTTATAATATATTATTTTATAGTATCTTACTAATTTAGGCTAAAGATATAAGTTTAAAAAATTCAAAAATATGTTTTTATTAAAAAATTCAATATTTTGACTTAAAAAGTTGACTAAGTAATTTGTTTATCTTTCTTACACTAAAATTATACACCTACACTGTATTTCACTCTTCATCTACACGGTGAACATTGAAATATTAATATAATATTTTTTTTAAAAATAAAAAATAAAAAAAAATATTATTTTAATATTTTATTTTAATATTTTTAATTTTTAAATTAAATGGTATTGATATAAAATTGTGTGATTAACCAATTTTATAACTTTATTAACCAACTTTATATATTGTATTAACCAACTTTATTGACTGTTAAAAATTATTCTTAATATCTGGACGCGTATTAACCAACTTTTTATATTTTATTAATCAATTTTGATTTATCGCGCAGTGTTCATACACTATTTATGCATTGTTCATACACTATTCATACACTGTTCACATATTATAAATATTATTTTTATTTATTAAAAAATAAAAACACTTAAATAGTATTTGGTGGAAGTATTTGATGTAAAAGTGGGTGTAAGAATAGGATAGCTGATTCTTTATATTAAAATCCTAAACATATGGGATGAATCAACATTTTTTAACAGGTAAGTGTTTTGGTACCTTTGAATTTTGATTGAGGATCAGTATCTTTAATATAAATAAATTTAAATTTTTAATATTTTAAAATAAAATTATATTAAAGTATAATATGACATATATCATTGTTTTATTGGATAAAGATTTCAATACTAAATTAAATTTAAGAATATCAAAATATTCACTTTTTAATATTGATACTCGACCGACCATTTTGAAAGACCCATATTCAACCATCCTATTTCAAGGGTCTTTCCATTATGCTAGGACTACCATGCACCCGACCACAGAGGATCTTCTCTCAAAAGCATATCTAACAAATTTCTACAATCCACATCTAAATAATATAGAGACTATTATTTCCCCTTTCTATATAAAGGAAAGACAACTATTCAAGTAACAATTTTCGAACACATTTGAATATATTCTTCTTCTCTATATACTGACTTCAGCGTTCAAAATGCTAACCTTACAGTTACTCTCCCTCTCCGCAGCTGCGGAAGCTCTTTTCAGAGGTTATCTCCAAACTTATCTCCATTTCTAATTCATGAGAGAAAAATGGTATCATCTGTGAGAATCTGACTGCTGATTCCGATAATTTCCACGAATCTCAGTTCGGTTTTTAGTTCTTCCATTGAGAATCTTCTCGATAATTGGATTGAGATCCTTTATGTTTTGTTCAATTAAGCTTCATGTCATCTTCATTTTGTCAGATCCACGAACCTTCACCTAACTTGTTACGCTGCTTCACGAGAAACTACTTTAGTCGCCACAGTTGTGGCGAAAGCAGCAGTCAACCAACCTACCCCGCTTCCTCCCACGAGGGTATAATGCATCCAGGAACCATCCTAACTCCTCAAATTGTGAGGACTGTCCAAGCACCACCGCTTGGAACTCAAATCAATTTAAAAACTATGCAACCTCAGATGTTACATGATTTCCAACAACTTTGGGAAAATCTTGGCGCTCAGGGCACCAACGAGTTTTTGAACGGTATTTACAACATCCTTCGACAACAAACTTCCTAAGCAGTAGAAGAACGGTTGCCCATCCTTGAAGAAAGCCTTCATAACGCCCCCCTCACGGGAACACTATCTAAGAAGTGAATTTTAGAAGATCTCATATCGTTGTCCCAAAGTCGACCACATGAAAGAGAGAAGAGTCTCTCAAATATAAAAATGAACAAAAAAAGGAAGCATCATTTTCCTCCTCAAAGTATCGGGGGAGACTGGGGCAGTCATGCTCCCTCCTTGGATCAGAGAGAAAACCAGTCGGCTAAGGTGCAACCAAAGCTACCCCTATGTGCCAAAATCTTAAAATTTAAGATTCCAAAGTCCTTGCGGAAGCCTCCGAAGTTTGCAAAATATGACGGTAAGAGAGATCATGACGATTATTTCCAGCTCATTAATGAAAGGATTAACAATTTCGGCGTTGATAAAGCCTTTAAGTGCAAGCTATTTGCCTCACTCTGATCAGGCCGACCATATTATGGTTCGGCGTACTTCCTGAAGGGAGTATCGAATCTTGGACCGAATTTTATGATCGATTTTCTACTCACTTTATCGCTGAGAAGTTCCATTCGGTCACAGTAGCTTCCCTGAGCAGGATCGTCCAAAAGAAGAAAGTGACCTTATTGTCACACATCGACATATTAACCTAGGTCGCAATGGAAGTATATGGGGCCGAGGAAAGGCTCTGATGTTGGATCTTCGAGAATTGACGACTTCTCTGTGATCATCCATTTAGAACTAAATTGGGGAAGAAGAAAATATGAATGACCCAGAAGTTGTTGAACCTGGCACAACTCTACATGATTTTGGTGGGAAAATGAACACTCACTTTGATAACTCGTCATCTACTAATAATTAATTCAATCGCTCATCTGGGAAGGAGTCCCACCGGAGGAGAGATGACATGGACCAAGGATCTCATAGCCGGTATGGAAATTACACTCCTCTAAACACCTTCAGGGAGAGGATTTACCATAAATGTGTTAATACTGAGTTTTGAAAGGAAGAAATTTGACCATCGTTCCCTATTAGTGAATAATCTTGGATCGTTAAATCAAAATATTTTTGTTTCCACAAGGGGTAGAACCATAGTACTGTCGATTGCATCCTGTTGCGGTTAGAATATGATATCAAATTATTAATTAATTTGAATCGCATCTTTAGTTCACAACCGCTCTTTGATTTATCCGAAGGAAAAGGTCAAAAGAGGAAAACCTAATTTTGCATCGTAAAGACAATGCGGGGAGAGATCTAGGTAAGGGGTTGGTTAAGCTTAGGGAAGGTACTAGCACCCTAAACTTCTGTAGTACTCTACAAGAACCTTTTGTTTATTGTATGCTTTTTTATTTTATTATCTGTTTGAAATATAATGCTAAGGGATAGAGTGACCTAAAGACCTAAGGGTTAGTCCTAAGTTTACTCGGCAAGACGTCGCATCTTGTGCCTACGTATCCTGGATAGGGAATGGAATCAGAGTAATCGTAGTTCCCCTCGAAAGGGAGGTTAGAAACATCTTGACTATGGTCAAGGTTTCAATGGGGAATAAACGTATCTTAAGGACACGCTTACGTGGAGTCTTTGAAACTCCTATTTCTATGTTGAATTTGTTAATTGAAAATTTAGGATTGAAATTAGGGATTCCACGGCGGGAAACCCTAAAACAGAGTACGGCGACTCTTTGACCTAAAACTAGGGTAAAGGGTATTTTTGTCCACGGCGTGACACTTATACTATTAGGGTTTGAAACGGTCAAAAATTAGGGTTATTGACTCAGCGGTCAAACGGCTAGACCTAATCCTTCGGAAGGATGATTAACGGTAAACATGCAAACATGGCGGAATATTATACGGCAGAAGTAAAATGCGGAAAGTAAATAAAGCATCGCGACGATCACTCGCGTAAATTACAAGTCCCAAAAAAATGCAAAATAAAATAACCGCGACCATGGCCTCGCGTAAATTACATCCATGGAACAAAAACGAACAAATGAAATAATAACGAGTTGAAACAAACAAATTAACGAGGGTTAGACAAAAATGAAACGGCTAAATCAAAACTTATTTCTTTTTGAGTTTTTATTGAGAAGAGGAGAGGAGAATTAATTTCATGCTTAAATGGAGAAACTATTCTAATTATTTACTAAAAATTTTAATAAAGAAACTGGTTTTAATTTTAATGAAAAAATGTCTTGAAAAAAATGTTTTAATTTTATCGAAAATAAATGTTTTAAATTTTAATTAAAAAATGTTTTAAATTTTAATGAAAAAATTTGATTTAAATTCAACGAAAAAGGTTTTAATTTTTGTTTTAGTGAAAGAAAGGTCATTTTTTAATTTTTGTGTTAACTTAATGAAAAATGGTTTTAATTGGAAAAAAGATTTAATTAAGAAAAACTGTTTTATTTAGAAATATGTTTTTAAATAAAAAATGGTTTAATTTTTGAAAAAACTTTTTAGAAAGGTCTTAATTTTTAAAAAACTGATTACGTTATGTTTTTTGTTGTTGTTGAAATAGCTTACCTAAACTTAATTGCATTATTAATTACAAACTACATAGTTAATATAAATGAAAAAATAAACAATTGAATAATAAAATAAAAAAATGAAACGTAAATAAAAAGGCTTCTACCGTTTTCTCCCTGGATGACTATCGAAGCTTTTCCTCTCCTTCAATCCTTGCATGTCATCTTCTATTTATTCTTCCCATTGATCTACAATCAATGAACAAAACAACACACAAAAATCATAAAATGCCGTAAATCAAAGGAAAGAGAAAGCTTACGGTAACGACGATGATGTTGAACGAACTGAGCCTCCGCCGTTGGGACTTTTTGCTCGCCGGTAGCGCTTGGCCGATGATGAATTCAAACCTTTTAGGATTCTTCCAAGAAAATTCCCTCTTCTGATAAATCGTGAGAACGGCCGCCGTTTTTCTTTTTTTCCCCTTTTCTTTTATCAAATGCAGCTCATGTTTATATAGGTAACAAATTAGGGTTAACTCTAACCTAATGCCTATTTTAAAGCCCAACTTAAATAATTAGTCAAAACTAAAAAAACAAACTAAAACAAACTTAAAAAAAATAAAAGAAAAACAAAAAGTGAAGAAGGTGAGATTTGAACTCTCGACCTCTCACACTCACAACTCCTTACACACGGTCTCT